ATAACATATCCAAGCGGATCACAAACACATTAAGCTTGTGATTGGAGCATCACCAACTTATGAAACTGTTGCTTTTAGGTATTAATAAGCCACCTCCTGCAATGTTTACAGTAATAGCCTAAGGAGAAATTTGGAAACGTTTCCTAATAGCATCAAAACAAGTATGGTGTTTCCTGCGCCCCCCTCCTTGGTGGAAAAGAAAGGGAAAGACCAGGAAACTATTCAATAGGGCTAAAAACCAAAGAAAAAAGGTTAGGGCTGCACTATAAATATCCCACATTTATAGTGCAGCCCTAACCGAATATAATAAAGAAATTAGGAAAGCAAAGCGCGCATAGTGGCAAGCATCGAGCGCGAGAAAATTGAGTCTTTGCCTCCCAGTGGTCTTGCACTTGCGATACACAAAATGCTATCGAAAGCTCCACCGGTGAGTGTAGAGAACCGGAGACCTTTTTTTCTAGAAAAGAGGCATTCCATCTTAATCCTCACGTGTGACAACGCATCTGCATTTTGATTCGTAATCGAGGATAGATGTAGATGTCTATGGACCACAGCAACCACTTACCAACAGGTGGACGGACTGTGTGCTCGTTTGTCACCCTATCCTGCAAAAAAAAATTGCTTGCTTTCTTACAGATTAAGATCCATGCTCGGTTCAATTATCGGAACACCGGTCTTATACATGATCTCAGATACCATGCGTCCACTATACACTTTTAATATAAAGTATATAGTGGAACTAACCTCCAGAGAAGACTGACTGAAAGGCCAGGTCATCTGTGAGGTTGGTAGCCTCATATGGTATACCGATGGGTCAAATATAAGCCTCGACGTATGCTTTGGAATTGTTGGGGAACGCCCCAAATTCAAAAGTATAATGAATTTGGGTAGATTCACCTCTGTCTTCCAGGCAGATATTTCCTCAACCAATACAATTTGGTCGTGCAACCATAAAAGTAAATTCGTCAACCATAAAATTTATATAAACTTTGATTGTCAAGCAGCACTGCTAGCGCTGACGTCAAACATAGTGAACTCGAAGCTAGTTGGAGACTGCGTGAACTGAGATGTAACAACAGGGTCATCTTAAGACGGGTTCCGGGTCACGTGGGTATTGTAGGCAACGAATTTACCGAAAAGCACGCAACGGAGGGTTCAAAGAGTATAGAATTTGGACCCAAGACATTTTGTGGAATCTCAAAAGGCCTAGCCCGATTGACCCTTGAAACTATTTATCACAATAAATCACTTAAGATCTATTCTGACATACCAGGCTTAAAACATTCTAAAACTTTAATCCAGGCTTTTGATAGTAAATTCGCTTCAGAAGCCCTGGGATCAAGTAAAAATTGCGTATTCCGGCAAGAGCCCCAACTGGACACTATTGTCTTAAAAAGCACATGTCCATCTTGGAACTAAGCAACTCAAGGATGTGCTGGTGCTGTTCCCTAACGGAAAAACACCTATGTACATCCTAACTGATTTCTGACCCTTAATCCGAAAACCTAACATTCATCTGGGAAACTATAAACTCTTTCCAGAAGAAGTGAAATCGCTCACAGCTAAGCAATTGCTTCTGTTAATAAGTCATAGGGCTTAGCAGTAATTATAGCCATAGCAGCGATCACAATAAATCTTTTAGTCGCAGTGATACTGGTCTGTTTCCCTAGACCTGCATAGCTGCTCGCACATAATAAAAAATACCTTTGCATTGACAAAATTTTCTTGTTATAATAGCCCTTATTGAAATGAAAGGAATATCCTCAAAATGGAAGAGCACCAAATAATATAACTATCCTTTCTATTATTTTCCCGCAATTAAACATTCTCTTTAAGAATTGCTATAAAATAATACTAGGCATCTTTGAATTTTTGGTTTTTGTTTTTATGATGATTTCTGATATTTTTGCGAACACTCCACATTTAAATAATACTAGTTTTTACGGATTTTATCGTGAATATTAACTTTCATGTTCCCGACATCTCAAGCACTTTACAGCACCCATGATCACGGGGGGGGGGGCGGTACTGAGATGTTTAACGTCCAGATGTCATAGTTACCCAGAGATTAAAATTATTAATTTCTACATAGTTTAAACTTCTTCTTCTTCTTCTTCTTCCTGGCTATTGTCCCATTTTAATTGGGTTCAGCCCTCCTAGTAATCTTGCGCCACATCGTGCGATTGTGGGTTGTCCTTACTGATATGTTAGTAGATTTCAGGTCGTTTTTTAGTGTTTGCAGCCAGGTTATTGGTGGTCGTCCACGGCCTTTCTTCCCCTCTTCTATGTTCATAACTCTTTTAGTCATATGGTAATCATACCGTCTCATCACGTGTCCGTACCAGCGTAGACGGTTTTCTCTAAATTTTTCGTGCACCTCCTTTCGTGAACTTATAGTATCTTAAAGTCTTGCAGTTCTATATTTGAGTTGGGGTTTAATTTTATTAGTTATGGTATCCCAAGCAGATGGCAGCAACCAGCCATCTTATCTATTGAAATTAGGATGTTTTTTGATTTCAATGGCCTCGTGAATCGTCCTTGGAAGGAATCGGTGTTCTTTAGCGAGGATTTGTGGTAGTGACAGGGGTGATACTGTACATGTTCACAGACTGCAGACTTCTCGGAGCGTCGTTTCTTCGCATCAGCTATATGTTCTTAACGCGGGTTTTTGTTTTCTCTAGTAAATATAATATTATTTTTTGCAAAATCAACCATCGACTTGAATCGTTTTTTTCAATTATTATCGGCGCAACTCGTCGCGCCTCGGGCCACAACGGAAGACGCAGGGGGCGCGGGCCGGTCGCTGACTCAGCAGCAGCGCGAGCGCATCCATTCCTCACCACAGACCTGATAGAGAATTTATATAACGTTACTCACTCAGCTTTGAGACGCGGTAGCAGAAGGGCTTTTCACCTTTCAATATATATTTGTTTAGATGTTTTACGGCATTAAACCTATTGTTAATACAGTCCATTCGCTTTATTTCTAAAAGTCACGATAAGGCCTATTAATTATCATAACCTGGATATTCTCTATGTATATCCTATACTCTACGTACCTGCTGATGGCCGAGTTACGACGGAATATAAGAACAAAATCCTTTACTAGGATTTCCCACGCTGGTCGAGCAATACGGTGAGCGCAATATAACAACTCAAACATTATTGAAGCTGTTTCCCCGTCATCAATCTGTGTCATTTAAGATCGGATGTAATGTTAGTGTTTAGAGATAACCACTACCATTACGTCCGATCTTACTATTAATTTGAAATAAACTTTCGGTATTAAAAAAATAAAAGAAAAATTTTGTACTAAATAAATAAATCAATTAAAAACTATCGAAATGATAATAACACCCACCTAATTAGTAGTATTTGTCATAGAATACTATAATACGTACACAAATACTCTATGGTACTTATTGATAGATTAATTTCATAATATGTTAATGTAAAAAAAAATTAAAATATCAGTACCATAGGCTTCTATTTTGTTTACCTGTTACACCCTATTTTTTTTGCAGACAGTAAAAAATATCATCTTTCTTAAGACATGCATTAGATTTAATTATATTTAGGTGTGTAAGTCTGAATAGATACTATTATTTATTTCTGCCGTCAAAAAGTTTACTTTGAGATCTATATTTAGTTGGAGCTGCTATGTAGAGAACCAGAGAACGATAACGAATCTGTATACTCCTTTGTTCAAGGTTGTTTGAAATTTTCCATGGGCTATAATAACCACTAACTATCAGTAATTCTAATAGATTGTACGTCTTATTAATGTTACAAAATACTGAAATAACGAAAGAGATTCTTTTTTTTATTGAAAAAGGGTAACAAAGAAGAACACAGTCCACTTGATGATAAGGAAATGCTGTGATCCATAAACATCTTTATCTATCTTCAGTTGAGAATAAAAATGCGGATAACTTGTCACTCTGACGACACCATGATATAACAAATGAGGCAACCATGATATAACCACAGCGTGGCTTCACCACGTTTGAGATTATCTCAACCGCTCACCTCTCGGTCAACATCATATCATCACATTAACTTTAGCGGCCGGCCACCACACCGAACAGCGGGTAGGCGTGTTGCTGAGCGTAAATCAGATGTGCTGAATTCCCATTTCTATTGAGCTACAGCTAAATGGAAATGGAATGACTGTTTAAAACTAATAAGCTTTTAATCGATTTGATTGTTTACCACGCTTAACAAAAAGCTATTCCTGCAAAATTTATTTTCGCTTTTTTCTCACACTTAGATGTTAAAAAGTCCATTTTATTACGCATGTTAACGACGCTGAGCGATGAAACATGCGCGTGAAAAATAAAAAATATTTTATTGACATATTTATTTTAACACATGTATGCTAAAATAGTGAGCTAAATAATTTCAAAGAAAGGATATACAAATGTTTTCCGTTGGTCCCCAAACAAGGATAAACCTGCGTTTTGAAGTCCGTGAGAAAGGTCCGAGTCCGAGCTTTTGAGTTATGAATAGTAGGGATGTCACTTAAGAATTAAGAAATTTAAGTGGCATCAGTCACCTAAACTTGGATTATTCGCGAACTACTAAACTAAAATAATAATTAAAATTATAATATTTACGATTAAAACTAACTATATACAATATAAAAGAAGAAACTATAATATAGAAAATCTAAAACTAAAAATTTAAATCGTCAAAAAGACCTGCTCCCCGTGGTATAGTGTCAAGAACGCTGGCTGCGTTTCCTCGCTGAATAGCTATACTTAGCCTTTAAAAGGCCTTAGCCTACTAAATAAAATACTTTTCATTTACAACTGCTGCATTACCACTACTACCACTTAAATTTAAATTTTTGGAAGGAACGTTTTTGAAGGATTTTGTACCGCGGCTAAGTAATGTTTGGACTGGAAAAAAGTTGTCGTATTCTTTTCAAGCTATAATTAATAAAGAATAAAAAGTGTTAGTAAATAAAACTGCAGTTTATGAAATTCAGTTTTTACTATTTTAATCCAGATCAACGTTAGACAAATCCTCGGTAATTTTTCGCACTTCTTCGTCGCTTCTTTTCTGTTCTGTTTTCTGTGCATTCGGTATCTGTGCGTCTTCTTTCTTTTGTCCGTAGAGTTTTTTTAGGTTATCCAAGACAAACTGAGGCATATGTCCTGGCCGCGGTTGATGTATCTCGTACTCTCCTTTTTCGTTCTTCACCAACTCCACAACAGAATCTTCTAAGTTCATAACTTCACCTGGCTTGCTGACTTCAGGTTTCTTTTGAGCTTGTTTTTGAGGACTCTTCATTTTTTGGGCCCAGCTTTGCAGATATTTCCCGGCTTCAGTTTGATAGAACTAAAACCATAATACAATCAAATTTAATATTTCAATAATGATATTTTGTTCTAACTTTAGAACATTTTGCCGTATCGATCAGCATTTTGTTACTTTTTTTTTTAAATTAATATTAACCTCGAGGCCCTATGTACTACAAATTTAACCGAGTCCTAATTTGACTATGATTAAACATAATATTTACCATAATTAGTAGTTTAAATAATAATACATTAAAATTGTGTTGTAATAGCAAATATGTTTAATATTATGGTACCGTTAGAGCATGCTAAGTAACAGTGGACAATTGTCCTGACGCTGTACACATATATATCATCTTCTCTATTCTCTTATTTTTGAAAGGGTTTTGGAGCTGGGAAAAGTTAATTCAGTGAATTATTTAATGAAATTGATTTGCACGCTCACAAAATTTTTAAAGAAGTAATTATCCCGAAGAGCTACTACCGATCATTTTACACTCGAATTTCACCATTTGAAGTAGCAGCGCTGTGCTGTTTATCGCTGATATACTGTGAGAGCGTGGTCACTCCTTGGTTGATCTGACCAACTCGTGCTGCACCTATAATAAAACCGCAGTGTTGCTTCCTCTATTAAAAAGCAGCAGGTCCTCTTGCAGATTGGTACCTATTCTCGTGTGATAACCACTTGTGGGCAAAATCAAATAGTCTTACCATAAAATGAATAAACTCAACCCAGAGAAAACAATTAATCTAGACTGATGTAGATAATGGAGTTGTATCCCACTCAATTCTGCAACTTGAATGCAAAAAAGCGAGCGCTTGAGCTAGTGGACTACCACATACTAGTTTTGAGTTAGATTTCTATACAGCGTTTAAATTTGTTACAAGTTAACGCAGTATATACTCGTATTTGTACTATGATTAATGCAAAAGTAGCCTAATGATTAAGGGTGCAAACTGGAAACTCGGAAAGTCGTAGGTTCGAATCCACTATTCGACTACTGTGGTGCACCACTCCACATATAAGTATTTTAATCTTACTTTAATTGGTTAAGGGTACTAATATTTTTTTTTCTAAAAATAAGCTGTAATATTTATTTGCTGACTGTTAAAGCACAGACCACCCCTATAAATTGCCTCACAGGGAGGACATTTGTCGTAGTCACCTTGCTGGTCAGGCCGGACGACTACTGCCATATTCTGTTTCAGTTTCGCCTCTTACGAAATTTACGGAACGATATGGAGTAACAGTTATCTATTGACGCTGGTGTTCCACAAGATTGTTTCTTGTGCATATCATTGATACGTTGCAAACTGATAACATTCATTGCTATGCAGACGACAAAACTGGTGATGCCTTATACACCGACCGTTACAATATTTCTCAGGAAATCGTCGTCTAGTACCGGGACAAACTTGTGTCTGAAGTCGAGTATTTGCTTAACAAAATCTCGGATTGGGGGCGACTAAATCTGGTCCAATTCAATCCCCAGAAGATACAAGTTTGCGCATTACCCCCTCAAAAGAACCCCTTTGTCGTATCTCCTCAGTTGGAAGGAAAGCACTTCCCTTGCTGCCTCAGCTAGCATCGGAATCCTCGGCGTCGACATATCGAATAGTGTGCAGTTTCGTGGTGACTTGGAGGGGAAGGCCAAATTGGCATCTAAAGAGCTTGGCGTGTTACGTTTTACATCGCTTGCAACTTTACAATTCCCCTGGTGTTGTGGTTGATCATGGGCGGCGGTAGTCACTTACCATCAGGTGAGCCGCATGCACGTTTGTCCCCTCGTCTATAAAAAAAATTACGGTCAATATCTGCCGGGTGCTTCCGATTATTCGGCGCACGTGATATCAGAGTATACATTACCTCCTCACATCCTGTAGGTGTACTTAGAACTGACTGACTGACACAAAGGTGATTGATATAATGTAATTACCAAACGTCCCGCAACTTTAACTGCCAACTGTTACTTTGTGATCGGTTCATTTCCAGCAATAAACGATCTACGGTCAGATGTTTAGTGATGATGATAGTTTCGGAAGATGTCACTGTGGTCTAAATTCAGTGGGACACTATTAGAAGACTCATTCATCTCATGATTAAAACTACTTTTACGGATTTTGTCGCGTTTATTTTTATTTTTTACTTTTTATTTTTTAATTCCCGACGTTTCGGGCGCTTTCCAGCACCCATGGTCACGGGGGACTGAGATGACTGACGTCCCGATGTCATTGTTAAACCCGGAGTACCTTCAGCTTTTTTAATTATTGTTTATGGTCCGATCTATGCAAAATGAACTGACTATGTCCTGAGGTCTTGCAGTGGTATGCTTGGGTTTAGTTTTAATTTTATTGATTATAAGATCCCAAGCAGGTGGTAGTACCCAGCCTCCTTCTCTATTGAAATTAGGATGTTTTTTAATTTCAATAGCCTCACGTATCATCCTTGGTAGGAATCGGTGTTCTTTCGCGAGGATTTGTGCAGACTTCCCGGAACGTTGATGCTTCACATCAGCGTTCCGGGAAGTCTGCAGTTTGTGATCATATCCTAGACGGCCCCAACCATTACATCAGATTTGATAGACCACAAATCCTCGCGAAAGAACACCGATTCCTACCAAGGATGATACGTGAGGCTATTGAAATTAAAAAACATCCTAATTTCAATAGAGAAGGAGGCTGGGTACTACCACCTGCTTGGGATCCTATAATCAATAAAATTAAAACTAAACCCAAGCATACCACTGCAAGACCTCAGGACATAGTCAGTTCATTTTGCATAGATCGGACCATAAAAAATAATTAAAAAAGCTGAAGGTACTCCGGGTTTAACAATGACATCGGGACGTCAGTCATCTCAGTCCCCCGTGACCATGGGTGCTGGAAAGCGCCCGAAACGTCGGGAATTAAAAAATAAAAAGTAAAAATAAAAATAAACGCGATAAAATCCGTAAAAGTAGTTTTAATCATGTGCAATGTTCGCGTAAATATAAGAAATCATTACTCATTCATCTCATTCATTTTTTTATTTCCCACTGGTTCGTAAAATACCTCTGTACAGGGAAGAACCAGCAAGAAACCCAGCTGGACATTTTTTCACTTAACAACATTTTTTTGTTCATTTTAAATGATTTTTTATAGAACCAGCATGGTGGCAATCTACTCATTCCCAGGAGTTATTTTCATTTATGTATTCTTTGATATTATAATAACCCTTTTTGTAGAAATTTTTTTTGATTTAACATTTAAACTCGTTTATTGACAAATTTTGTACATTTTCTGGGATTTTTTTGTAAAAGTATAATGTTTTTTGCACATTGCCCCACAATTGAATTACTAATTCTGTGGAGTCTAGTAACTAGTTAAAAAATAATCTCTCAGGTAGTATTAGCTTGAAATCATCAGTGTTAGGATGGAGGACGTAAATATTTAATGAGCACTGTTACCATCAAGGGAACTACATGATACATACCTTTTCTCTATTTTTGTTTATTTTTTGAGGAGGTAATGTGGGCACTTGACGCTTCGCATTCGTTGGAAACGGTTGTCCAGCTAAAAAAAAAGATATACATAATCTGGCGTTACTTTGCGGAAATTTATTATAATACTAACGTTAAAATCTTTCAACGTAAAAATTTTTAAACGTTTTGAAACGTTAAAAGATTCAGATTTAGAAATATATTGTTTCATGCGTTGTCACTCGTGAGGGCTAAGATGGAATGTCTCGTTTCCAGTAAAAAGGTTCTCCGGGTCTGTACACTCACCATATGAAGCACAGCAGTATTATGCTGCTATTTTACGCTAGTATTCTGTCAGAGCGTGATCCTTCCCCAGTCAAGCCGACCCATTCGTGCTACAACCATAATATAGCTGCAGCGTGGCTCTACCACAAATCTATGATATGATATTAATCAAAATATTGTTATGTACATTGATAATGATGACATTTTGTCTCTGTTGCTGGTATTTACATAAATTGTGTAATTCTTACTGAGGTTCATGGTGTTCGTCTGTGGCCCTAACTCGAACATGATCTGAAAATCAGCATGGTTGCCGAAGGCGAAGCCAAATCCCACTCGTGAGTCCGTTCCTGAAAGCACACCACTCGCTTTCTAATAAAGAACAGAGTATACCTAATAAAAATAATGTTTCTACTTTATCAGCCCACAAAAGTCCACAGTTGGATAATGGCCCTTCTATTAGGAAGGACGTGCCTTAATCATATGGTGCTTTACAGCACCACACGTCTATCAAATATGACGTTTTATATCTGGCGTAATCGAGATGGCATACAGTCTCATCTTTCGGAAGCCATAATATTTTTCTGGGATTTCCTACAGTCGCCTCTTACGAAAGCCACGAGTAGTTTGTTAATTACATGTTATTTATAATACGTAGCGTGTAAAACAAGATTCGAGTATTTGATTCATATGAATATATGAACAATATTTAAGTGTTTATCTTACGTACCGTGTAGTGGTTACATATCATCCCGTGGGCGTCGTAAGAGGCGACAGGGGGAAACAAATTAGGAGGTGGGCTGCAACGTCTTCCTAATAACGAATAAAAATTAAAAAGTGTGTTTGCCAACCCGCTTGCCAAGCGTGGCGACTATGGCAAATATCTCACAGCTCATTAGGATGAGACAATCTATGGGGGAGGCCTATGTTCAGCAGTAGACTTTAATAGGCTTTAAAGGTAACGGTAAGTGTTGTTGCATCTCATATATAAAATATTAAATATAATTAAAAACTCTTATAAGTCTATTTCAAAAACGATAACAAACTTTTTAAGGCACTGATTTCCACTCTCGTATCTTGCACTATCTTTACTATTGATGGCACTTCTTGGATGCCTATCAGTCCTTCTGGGTCGGTTGTTGGTGTTACATGTACCTGCCGCCTTAAAAGTATGTAGAGACTTAGATATTACTCCTTTGGCAACATATCTGCAACAATCTTTGTTTAGCGATCTATAAGCTACAACAGCCACTTACCAGGTGAAAATTTTGCAGATCCTCATATCATAAACATATATTAAACATGTTGTCTTGTTTAGAATACTAAAGATACTAATTTAATAGCATTTTCATCATAATTTCTTAAAGTTATCCATCATTATTCTCTAAAGTTACCCTTCCCCGGTCGAGTTGATTTACATTTTTAATTGGATTAATCTTCTAAACCTTACTTAGAGTGATAACATAGTATATAGACCGTACAATGCAGCGCAATTTTTGCCAATGTGAAGCTTAAGTTTAAATTTGTGATTTTTGCGTTTATTTATTTCTCCTTTATCCATATTTTTCTCGGAATACCAGCCTTAGATGTCACAACTAGTAACGAAACTTTTTAAACTTCCCAAACTGTTAAGACATGGTACAACTTTACCTTTTTTGATTGGAGGAATATTAGAATACGCAACAGACAGCAACGATGGCAGTTCCTCTGGTATGATCACCGAGCAGGCGCCTGAAAATAAAAAAAAATCACATAGAAAAAACTCACAAAATCTCAAAAAATTCGTCTCAAATTTTTGCTAAGAGCTTACTTCGAGCCTTTATATCTTATATTAAAACTGAATGTCACCAGTTTTCGTTACTTCTCGTGAGGTCGTCAATTATTAGTATTATGAAAATTGAACATCTGGGATTTAAGCCGAAAAATTATAATTTAACTACCATGTGGAAGTGGTATAAGAAAATCCACCCCTCCATTTTATACCGTGAGTATCGTAAGAGGTGATCTTGGGAAATTCCCGCAAGATCTTATGGGTTCAAATAGATGTATTACAATCTCTACTGCCTCGTTGATCTAATGGTCGCAAACGCGATTCCCGGATCGGGCCAAAATCAGTTAATTGGAATTTTCTGTCAAGAAATTTTCAGTAGCAGTTGCACCCCCGTGCTTCAGTCAGTCAATCTTGTCGAATTACCGTCCCATCGGTTTATGAGAGTGAGGGAAGAGAGAGTGCACCTGTGCTTGCCGCATACTCCTGGCCATTATAATCCTGTCTTACGCAGATGTTTAGTATTCGTTACCTAGATTGGCTGGCGTGACTGAAATTTGGTCTAAAGGACATTATTATTATTGATTTTCATAATAATAATATTACATTCTATTCATTATACATTCACGTCAGTCACAAAATATCAAAACTAACGACTAGGAACAGCGACAAAGATGCAAACATGTCCGCCCATAAAACATGCCATTATTATAGCTAATGGGAGAATTCAACAATTACCCAGTGTAGATTGAAAAATTCATCTACAAAGAAATATTTAATATTCGGCATCAATTAAGAAACATTTAATATTAATAAGAGGTCCAATAGAATTTAAAAGGTTTTATCTATAACTGTGCAAGGTCGCGCGTGGTGCCGTGTTGCTATTTATGACATCTATTTACCAATATTGTATTATTTCTAGTAGCAAAGTAAATAATTTTCGTTAAGCCTCTTCTTTCTTTTATTTTTTGTTTCTTTACTCAAGGAATATACTATGCATTCACCTGTATCATGTAGATTAAATTATTTTTAAGAGTATTGCAAACAGTGTAAAAAAAACTCCTTGTAACTTTTCGGCTGTAATTCATAAAATTTGTGGGTATCTGTGTTAACCCCTGTGATACTCGGTGGCTACAAAAGAATTTCGTTACTTTTTTACTAAGTAAGAACACTGTTTTTATTGTTTTTTAAACTTTTACAATCTCATCGACATCTCAGCAACAGACAATGGCCATTGTAAGCTTCAGTAGCTTAACTGTACAAACACATTTTAATCATCGTTGGCCAATTTAGCACTGAGTATCAAAACTTAATATTAAAAAACAAGGTTCTTACACACACCACCGGGGATAAAACTGAAACATGTGTTTCATCATGTAACAAAATCTAGAGTGAGTAGGCGGCAATAGTTTCTTATAATCAGTTGTTCAATATAAACATATTTCACAATTTTTTTAAAGAATAAGGAAGGGCGACAAACTATCACACAATCAACATGATGGTACTGGTAAGTGGATACTGTAGGCTATAGATATTTACATCCATCCTCGATTAAAAATCAAAGTGCAGATGTGGTATCACTCCTGAGGACTAATATGGAATGCCTCATTTTTAGTAAAAAGGATCTATAGTTCTCTACACTCACGTTACGAAACGCAGCAGTATTAAGCTGCTATTTTACGCTGGTTGTCCTACCCCTTTTGAGCCAACCCAATTGTGCTACTACCACAATACGGCATGTATGTAATGAAGCATGGCTCCACCACGTTAAAAAGAATTATGGAACATGTTGTATATCTTCTCCTTCATTATCAGCCCAGAAAAATTCAATGTTATGCAGATACCTGTTCAGTTTTAGGGAGTATTAATTCTAAACGCCACGCTTGGTAGGCACCATAGAAATATAGCTCTTTCTTATATCTATGGTAGGCATAATAGCAGACGTCTTGCACTTGACGGTGCGTTTGTCACCGGTTTAGGTACTTTACGCCTGGTAAACAAAATGATTTTACCGCCTCATAGCGGAAGTCATGTCTTTTAAGGTTTTCCTTAGCCGCCTCAGACGACACCCACGAAACGTAAGGAGGTGATGGATTTTCTTCCGCCGCCACCATACGGCCATTGTATGTATCTGCACATATAACATAACGTGTGTTAGTGACAGTGTAAATTCTATACGCATTTACTTATAGCATAAGACTTACACGTAAAACACTTGACCAATTGAGGTTGGACTTATTTGGCGATAGTTTATAGCTATACTGGGATCTGATAGGTGGCGCTCTAGTTCTAGTTTTTAAAAATAATGTTTATAGACCAAAATAACTTACGATCGTATATGTAGGGACCAAAAATCAGGTGGTACTGTTATTGAGTAGTCAATAAACTTTATTTTTACTCAGTAAAACTACCAGATAGAATTCTGAAACTCATCATACATTAGATATTATTAACTGCCGGAAAGGGCTGAACAACGAGTGCATAACCAGCAAGTTTATGGATATATAATATATCTAACTCTATATCTGACTGCATCGTTGGTCTAGTGGTTGTAGTAAGTATGAGTGCTAATCATGAGGTCCTGGGTTCAAATCCCGGGTCGGGAAAAAAAATTAATTATTGAGTTTTTCTGTCAAGAAATTCTCAATAGTTGCTTGGAGTCATGAAGTTGGCGGTATCTCACCTCCGTGCCTCGGAAAGCACGTAAAATCGTTGGTTCTGCGCCTGATCTCTGTCTGGTCGTGTCGGTCAACCGTCCCATCGGATTACGAGAGTGAGGGAATAGAGAGTGCACCTGTGCTTGCGCATACACTTGGACACTATAATCCTGTCCTGTGCCGATGGCTAGCCTCCGTTGAGGCAGGCCGACGTGGCCGAAATTCGGTCTGGAGGACATTATTATTATAATTCTATATCTTTAATTAATATCAGAAATATATTGTGTCAAATATTAATTTTTTTCTCATTAAGTGTCTCTTTCTTCTCTAGTATAAATTCGGTATTTCTACTAACATCACAGTCACAGCTTGTGTCTAAAATAAGAATAATTGCTGTATTATGTATCTTCAATGAAAATAATACATATATGCCCGTTCTTCGAAAACCCTAATAAATATAAGTTTAACTACATCTTAAAGGCAAAGATAATAATCAATTTGTGTAAATGAGTGGAGAAAGTTGGAACATGTAATATTCTAATACAATCCGACATTATGCTAATGAATGTAGGAGTGAAATTTATAAATTATTGCATCACGTTTGGGACAAAATGTATACGCCTTGGTGATGGATATTCTTGATTTTCAAATTCCCTTAATTAATTACATCATATTGTAGTATCTATCAAAAAATGTCGCATAAGATGAACATTTCTTTAACTTATTAACAACTATATACAGAAAGAAGAATATTGAATTTGAAGGTACCAAAATACACAATAGATTACATAATATATACATAAGTATAAAAATGCAAAGAGTACACCTTTAGAAGAAAAACTAAAAACTTTTATTAAACACACGTTAATAAATGAAAGTTAGCAAACATTATTAGTACACTGTGGATTGGTGTCACATCAGTAGCATATATAAATATACTCGAGAACCATGTATTCTCGGTTTATGTTATAAAATTTTATGGACCTTTTTATGATAGATCTCAGTGGGTAGAGATATATGTTCAAAGACAGAGTTTTACCTTTAGGTTTCATAAAACAAGAGTAATCCAAGTTACTCGTAAATAAACAAAATCCACAATATTTTTAAAGATTACGGTTAACGGAAAATGATGAGAAGAATTAATTGAAATAAAAAATTGCATGTCTGAGAAATTAAATATATTATTGTAACAGCTATACAAATTCACATACCTGTAACATAATGAAGCAACTTAAGTCTAGCTTAATCGTACGTAATTGCATATTAAAAGCACTGTTTTATCTGGTGCAAAAACTACAACAGCGTGGTTAACGTTCCAAAAACGTTTATTATTTGAATATCATCATTTGTGCCGTTCTGAATCAAAAGGACATTAATGCCCAGGCAAATGCGATCCGGTGAATTACGTCACATGAAAACATCTTTAAACATTTTGTGGTATGATTATAAATGTTTTAATTCAGAACAAATAAGGTGTACATGTCTGTCGCGTGACCGATAAAAGTCTCAGTACGTAGACCATGTCGCAGACACGACAGACACGATTGTTCTGAGGTGACAAAGCAACAGTTTGACGTGACATCACATTATATCCGGTCTATAACATTAAGTTACAATATTATAGGTTTACGAAATATCATATAACAACATTATTGTTATTAAGAAAGACAGCACAGATGGTACTTTATTCAGCTGAATACTTCTGCAATAGCATTTGCAACTACGAATTGTAATTATTTTAGTATCCTTATAGTTATAGTTTGAACTATAAATTTATAAATCGTGATATTGGATCGCTATTCGATTATATCGTAAGTTACTCATGCCACAAATGTTAGCTCACTTGGAATAACCATCGGGAATATTAGAAATGTTAATAGTATTGCTAGTATTTAGAAAAAGATATGTTAATTTCTCGTGTGGTTGCGAACATTCATCGAATTCATTTTTACATATGCTTCTCGCGTCAAGGCGACTATGGTATATAGCAAAACCAATATTCACAGCGTCCATAATTTGGAGGTACAACCATCTCGTACACCAATTTTAAAAGAACCTATCGCTAATTCGCCGCCCAAGTTTTCAAATTTTGGAAAATATTACCCCCTCTGTGAGAAGCCCATATCATGCAAATTAAATTTTATGATCTTGTGAAACAAGAAATAAAGGAATAATAATAAAAAGCTCCCGTAGAAAATTTCATGAGTCCCACATATCCCGAATTCATTAATAGGCTCTAATAGTTTTGTTGTTAGTGACTGCTTATTGTCAAAATTACAGGGAAATATCTCTGATTTTCTGAATTT